TTCACAACGTTTCGGCCGTTCTACGCTCCGACATTTTTCAAGAACGTCTAGATTTTTTAGATGAGGTATTCAAATTATTTACATTGTTTGGACTATTCCTCATCTTTATTGTCATGTTCACAACGTTTCGACCTTTGTACGCTCCGACCTTCTTCAGGATCGTCTATATTTCTGAGATGAGGTATTATAATTATTTACACTGTTCGGACTGCTGTCCTCATCTTTATTATCATATATCCACGACGTTTCGGTCCATTCAGGTAATTGAAATTTCGAACTGAACCCTTTATTTCATCCACCGGGGTAGATTTTTCTAGCTCCACGTGCCATGCCTCTCCCGGATTTCACAATTATCTCACTTTAACCTAACCCTCCAAGTTTTTGTTCACTGCAGTAGCCAGGTATTGAACTCACGACTCTTTGGATCATGTCACTGGATCCAACATGAGCTAGAATTTTTCGGACTTGTAAACCTAATGCCTCATATCTTGTTTTTACCAAAGCTCATATTGCAATTTTGTTGTTATTACCGTTTTTTCTCTAGCACTCTGTATTACTGGTTCCCATATTGTATTCATTTCTACGCTTAGTCGGTTTAGGAGATTTTCGTGGTCTAGAATATGTGCTGATTTCTTAAGTTTTACTATGTTCCAGTGATGTTCTTTACGTAAATAATGCTGTTCGAAAAAAGGTTGCCCATGCCTGGTTTAAATCATCAATTGGTCATATCCGCTGATCTCCTATGAAAAATTAATTGATGATGCCAACCGTATAACGGCCAACAAGAAAGATTGGCAGTAAGGTATTCAGTTATGGGTAATTGGTTTCAGGCGTGTGGGTTGGACTTAGGTGTTGATGGTTTACATATATTATTTAAAATTGCTCACTCTCGAGAACAGAGACGGTGGAGTAATAAGCAGTGTGGACACAGAAAGCAACACTGCAGTGTGACTGACAGTTTCACGCTTTTAGCGGCCATTAAACAGTCTGATGATCACTTTAGGAGTGGAACTGCCACTGTCGATTTTTATTCCTAAAATTTTCACATATACGCACATACAAATAGAAACCAACACAAATTACTAAATAAGAAAAATTAAATAATGGGTAAATACAGATATATAAACAAATATTTACTTTGACATTATTAATATATATATATATATATATATATATAAAAGTGAACATAGAAGTCAACACTTAGAGGCGACAGTCTGTTTCATGCTATATGCAATCGTCAGGCCATGTGTGCTGTTATTTTTCTCGGCTATTTATATATATTTACTACGTTAAAACAAAACACCGATTAAAACCAAATAAATAAATATATATATAAGATAAGAAACAAAAAATAAAAATAAATAAAAGCAAGCAAAATAAATAAATAAATAAACAAATAAACGACTTCCGGTAAAATAACCGCCATAATAGACTACCCACAATGCACCACTTACCCGTATATATATAAATAGCCGAGAAAAATAACAGCACAGCCTGACGATTGCATATAGCATGAAACAGACTATCGCCTCTAAGTGTTGACTTCTATGTTCACTTTTATATTTACACACGCTCTATCTCTGATATTGAGCACTTTATCCCATAAATATAGTACATCTTAAGACTATATTTCTTCATATACATATATATATATATATATATATATATATATATATGTATGTATTAAGACATTTTTTATGTTTATACGTTCTTTTTATAGATACAAATATTTAAGTAAATGCCCTGTTTATAATAAACAGTATTAACAACACTTACCGGCCTGAATGTCCGAGAAATTTTCATAGAAAATATTCGTCCTCCAACAGGGATCGAACCTGTATCCTATACGGAACCGTGCTTTTACCGATTGAGCCACAGAGGAGTGTTTCGGTTACCAAGGTCGATTTTAATGTTTTTAAACTACAGTTCTCCATGATTGTCTCTCATATATTCATATCTGCTCGATGCGTATCCAAAGTTTGTTTGTTTTTTTTTTGCTCTTCGTGTTGTCATATTTTTTATGTTTTAAGTCTAGTTTCATCATTTTGATAATTACAAATAGAATAGCCGAAAACGTTCAGATATACAAAACATTTCATGACCAAAAAAGAAAACTCTTGTACAAATCCAAGAAAAATTTTTTTAAAACATAATCGTAGTATTTTTTAGTCGGTTTTAACGAAATTTGTATAAAAGATGTATTGCAGCAAAAATACACAATTATATATATATATATATATATATATATATATATATATATATATATCGAGAGAGAGAGAGAGAGAGAGAACACAGATATATATAAAGATATATATAAATATATATATATATATATATATTATATATATATATATAGAGAGAGAGAAAGAACAGACAGATATATATAAAGATATTATATATGTATATATATATATATATATATATATATATATATATATATATATATATAGAAAGAGAGAGAAAAGAGACAAACAGAACAGACAGATATATATATATATATATAAAGAGAAAGAACAGACAGATTACAAATCCACAGTTCTTAGCATTTACATTTTTTTTTCCCCTACAAATATGTATATATATATGCACACAAGCACACACATAGAGACACACACATATATATATATGAAGAAATATAGTCTTAAGATGTAGTATATTTATGGGATAAAGTGGTCAATATCAGAGATAGAGCGTGTGTAAATATAAAAGTGAACATAGAAGTCAACACTCAAGGCGACAGGCTGTTTCATGCTATATACAATCGTGAGGCCACCTAAGTGTTGCATCTAGCATGAAACTTATAAATATATATATATATATATATATATATATATATATATATATATATATATATATATATATATATACATATATATATGTATATGTATATACCTATATAAATACATTCAAATAGCTGATGTAAATATGTACAAGTATATACAGGGACCATATATTAACAGATAGATAGATAGATAGATAGATAGATAGATAGATAGATAGATCGATAGATTTGTATATACCTAAATAGAAATCCATTCAAATTGCTTTGTAAATATCTATATATAGGTACCTTATATTAACACGCACACACACACATACATATATATATATATATATATATATATATATATATATATATATATATATATATATATACATATATATATATATATATATATATATATATATATATATATATATATATATATATATATAAACACTGCCAGAGTGCCAGCTTTGGGAAAGCTGAATCTGTAATCGCGCATTGCACTTGAGTAGGGTATCGGTGCTCACAACCAAGGCCTGTGCAACTGGCTGGGGTTTTGGGATTATTTTTCCCTTCGCTTTAGTGTACACACTCGGGCTCCCCACAGTAAATCCGACCTTGCGTCACATCACTTCTCCGTTGGGAGACGTGCTAAATACCTATATATATATATATATATATATATATATATATATATATATATTGCATACGGACATTTTGTAGTGAGTAATTTATTTTTACTGTATATGTAAAAATTATGATAAATACTTATTACTCTACTCTTGGTATTAAGCCCGCATTTGAAATACTGCTGTCAGCGATAGAATTTATATATAAAAAAAAAAAACATGAGAAAATAATTAAGAGATGAAGAACAGTGTTCTAATATGTTTTCTTAATTTATCATTATATATTGCTTTGTAACTTAATTTAAGTTATTTGGAACAATCCCTACCAATTACAATTTGGTATCATATATATATATATATATATATATATATATATATATATATACTTTAAAATCGTATTTCTATCAAGTATTACCTAGTAATCTAATACAGCTTTAGGCACTTATTTCGCATTGTTTTCTTTTCACTATATCCCCTTGTACTTACACGTAATCTTTCCATATATATTTAACTACATTACAGAGTTCAGAGAATATATATATATATATATATATATATATATATATATATATATATATATATATATATATATATATTTCTTTAATTAAGCTGTTCTTTGATCTAAGCTTTCATAAACGAATGCTAGACAATTTTTTCCTTTATTTTCACCCGAAATTAAAGCAACCATACGAAGTTTAGAAACATATACGTTTATATTTAATAATAAATGGTTAAATTATGATCTGCTGCCCAAATACAGTATATATATATATATATATATATGTGTGTGTGTGTGTGTGTGTGTGTAAATATATATATATATATACATATATATATGTATACATAAATATATATATATATATATATATATATATATTGTGTATTATTAAGGTTCTGTCTTTTGACATAGAGCTCTCCCTGGATCGATTACCATATTGCATTTTATTACTATATATATATATATATATATATATATATATATATATATATATATATATATATATATATATATATATATATATATATATATATATATATATATATAAATATACCATATATTATATATATATATATATATATATATTATATATATATACATATGCCATATTATCTAAATGTGTTAGCTCGATCACTGATATTGATAGCGCTTTCCAATAAGTACCGATGACGTCTATGCTCGTTGATCTCACCAGTATATATATATATATATATATATATATATATGTGTGTGTGTATGTGTGTGTGTCTGTGTGTGTGTATTAGAATAGATTTTTGATTAATTTAAACGTTTTTTTAGTGCACACTCATATTCTAGTCGAGAAATCTTGTGAAGGCAAATTTTTGTTTAATAAGATTTCTCGAACATTTGGGTCAGTATACTAAAATAAATAAATACTAGTTTATAAACAAACGGGGCGTCTACTCAAATACGAGTATCCATTAAAAATTAACGTTTAAAGAAAATAAAATATATATATATATATATATATATATATATAAAGAAACATAGTTTTAAGGTGTTAGTGCACGCGCGTGAGCGTGTGTGTGTGTGCGTGTGTGTGCGTTCATGCGTGTATGTGCGTGTTTCGTCCTCTGAAACATTTATGTGTTCTGCTTATGATGACAATTTTTCTTTTTCTGTTTTGTTTGCTACTTTTATTGATATAATCATCCTTTTGTTTGATAATACTTTCCTGAAAACGGCCATATGTTTCTCTGAGCCATTTAGGGCATATCTTACATTATCCACCATCCCCCAACCACCTCCTCCACCTCAACCTCCCCACCTCCCCTCAACCTCCCCCTCCCCTCAACCACCCCTCCCCTCAACCTCTCCCTCAACCACCCCCCTCCCCCCTCAACCTAACCCTACCCACCGACAAAAAAAAATATTACTCATCACTGTTCATCTCTTCCAGAAGTCACCTGATTTTTGGTTAATGATACCAAGAAAACCTTTAAATAAAGTGATAACCTTTCGACAAGAAGAGATTTTTCATTTTTTTCTAAAATTAAATAACGAAACAAAAAACCAAGAGAAAAAAACGCTAATAATAATTAAAATTGTTATCATTAAAAAAAGTTCCCGTCGTCCATTTTTTTTTTTTTTTTAATTAATCTTAAGGATATTTTTTGATGTGCGGGTATTGCAAAATGGGTCCCAGTGCTGAAATGGAAATCGGCAATCCGAGTTCAAATCCTTGTCAGTTGCGATCAGTTTATCACAAATGCCCTTGATAAAGGCATGGATTCGTCTCTTCTTCCTTCTCACCCCAGCTATGGGTTAAATACCTGGACAATATGGGTTCTCTAGTATTTAGTGGCAACTAGTGTAAGAGAAGGACAATACTGTATTCAAAACCAACACGATGAGAGATGGGCTCCGTCAGGTTATCCTGCCCTAGACACACCAACCACTGCTACAGTTGTAATACATGTGGTACACCTATGACTCTAATGGGTTACCGGACTGAATTAGAGGGCTGAGTGTCTCAGCTATATATATATATATATATATATATATATATATATATATATATATATATGTTTGAATAAAAGACAGACCACGTTAAGATTCCATGTAATAAGTTATTTCACCATAACCCTTTAACAGGGTTCTGGATCATCAGCCTTTACTTCCAAAAGCTGAAATGAAAAATGAAAAAGAAATTCACACGTTTTTTACGGACCTCATCAAGTATACGCAAAGTTAACGAAGTGAGGAAGTGAGGTGGGAGATATATATATATATATATATATATGTGTGTGTGTGTGTGTGTGTGTGTGTGTGTGTGTGGTTTCTGTTATCTGGTCGGGTTCTTTGTTTGAGATTCTGTAGCGCCAAACCACGAAGTTCCAAAAAGAACCGTTCTTCTATAGGCTTTATTCGCTCGAAGTCATTTTTAATCGCTGAGTGTCGATCTGATGTTATTTAAAAACACGATTCGACTTTTTAGGTTAATGTTTTGGTTTTAAAGCAACTTATGGTGTTGGATGAAACTATCCCTAGCGCAGCCTATTCTATGTTCAGTTACTTTATCTCCTTTATCAAATATGCTAAAAACTTATCCATACGCCGAAATCGGGGCAATAGAGTCACTCCCGATGAGAAATGGAATTTTATGAAAATTTTAAAGATCCTAGCTCGAACCATGACAGCCTTTAAAATATTATCTTCTGTAACTCGTGAAATTCAAAAAAAATTTTTACAACTTACTGAAAACTAGACACCTGTTTAGTGTGCAACATTGCAATGTGCAGTTGGCCTGTTTGAATGACTCATTAGAAGAGAAAAGCACTTTATCCGATGAAGAGAATCGACCGGTGATTTTGTTGTATGACAACTGTTATCTTCATGTTGCAAATACGACGCAGCAGAAGTATCATGGGACGAGAAGAATTTTCCACATGAGGTTTATTTTATACGCCGAGAAGATATAAGCTCATAATTTTTCCCAAGGTTATTAGCACGTTATGTGAATGTAATTAACTCAACAGGAATTCAAGCTCGGCTCAAAACCGAGTCGCTATCCATTACTCTGCCGTGCTTGAGAATATATAAGCTAAATCTTTATCTATCTGCCGCGTCCCTTCAGAACAGGGTCGATCTGATCTCTCTCTTGAATTTCCTATCCCTCGTGGGCCTTAGCAGTTTTTCATCTTTTAGCTAAGGCTACCGCTCAGTCGATCCACGCACAAAAGCTCATCAGGTAGGCGATTCCCTTCTTCCGCTATTTTTCTTGACCTCAATATTCCACGTGAGTGTTAAGTTTTCGAAGCCTTCATTAATTGTCCAATGAATTTCAGCCGTCTCTTCATGATTCTTAATATGTGTTCTTTTGTTGCCCTTTTCTTTGTACTTCCCCGTTGCTCATTGAATTCTAAGTATCCTCCTGTAGAACTACTTTTCTGTTGGCTTCATTTTTCTTTTCTTCCCCCGTGAAGAGATTGTCAAGAATTCACTACTAGGTTAAAAACAACAACAATTAAATGAATTGTTCAAATATAAAGAATAGTGTAAGTTCTTCATCTGACAATTTCAAGAAAGATTATCAAGTACACCGACCAAGAATTATTTTCCTGGTTTTTTTTTTTTTTTTTTTTTTTTTTTTTTTTTTGGTTTTTTTTTTATTGACGTTTTATTCTTGTCTCCAATTCATTTTGTTCGTTCTGCAAACTCTTCTTCGTTCAAAGTTACTCATTAAAATAAAGCTGTCGTCCAGATATTTATATAGAAAAAGAAAAAGAAAAAAAAAATGCGAAAATTCTTCTTTTCGTCTCGTAGTTTCTCGGCGGTATTCGACAAAGAAGTTGGTTTAGAAGTAATTCGTCGTTATCCAAAAATTGCGATCCAGGAAAAGAGAGGAGAACTTTTTCCTTTTTTTTTTTTTTTCGCTTGTTTCTTTTGAGGAATTGTACAAATTCAACCTGACTTTTGTCAATTAATTTTAAAATAGAAATAGCAAGGTAAAAAAAAATAGCTTAAAGATAATAAAAAAAAATGTAACAAAGTTAGAAAAAAAAGGGAGAAAACTCTTCACGTTAAAAGAGCATTGATTTATCGTTGGAAGACAAAAGAGAGGCATGCACCAACCGCTTGTGAGATACCGCTTTCGCCAACACATTCAACGCAATTATTCGTTTATATATATATATATATATATATATATATATTTTTCTTTTTTATGTGTGTTTGTGTTTTTGTTGGTTTATTGTTGTTGCTGCTTCTGTTGTTGTTAGTGGGTGGGGGGCTATTTTCGTTTAGTGGGACGAGTAATTTCATTACATCTTATTTATTTTGGTTAAGTGATGCGCCCTCTACTAACTCAACTGATTCTTGTCTTAATCATTTATGTAACTTTTTTCATATCAGCATTTGATTTTCGCTAAGCTGTTTTTTATTTGTTCTCACCCTCATCATTTTCCTTCCAATATCTTCCTTTCTTTTTTCCTTCCTTTCTCTCTCTCTTTCTTTATTTCTATCTTTTTCTTTCTTTTTCCTTCTTCCTTTCTCTCTCTCTCTCTTTTTCTTTATTTCTATCTTTTTCTTTCTTTTTCTTTCTTCCTTTCTCTCTCTCTCTCTTTCTTTATTTCTATCTTTTTCTTTCTTTTTCTTTCTTCCTTTCTCTCTCTCTCTTTTTCTTTATTTCTATATCTTTCTTACTTCCTCACTTTCTTTCTTTCTTTCTTTCTTTCTTTCTATTTCAGAAATCTATCCTGTCTCCTCCTTCTCCCACATCTTTTCATCATTTTTTTTCATTTTTCTCTTTTCAGTTGAGTTTTAAGGAATTAGTTTTGCCTTCTTTTTCACTTTTCTTTCTTTTTTTTTTTTTCGTTTTTCTATTTCTTCTCACCCGCCTCAATTTCTTTCGGTTATTTTTCTTTCTTTCTTCCTCTTTCTTTATCGCTCCCTCTCATTCTTTCTTTCTTTCTTTCTTTCTTTCTTTCTTTCTTTCTTTCTTTCTTTCCTCTCACTCTCATTCTCTTCCCCTTTCTTTTTTCTTTCTTTTCCTTTTCTTTTCCTTTCTTTTTCTTTCTCTCTTTTTTCTTTCTTTCTTTTTTTTTCCCTTTATTTCTCTCTTTTTTCTTTCTTTCTTCCTTTCTTTTTTTTCTCTCCCCTTTCTTTCTTTTCCTTTCTTTTTTCCTTTCTTTCTTCCTTCTCACTCTGTTTCTTTCTTTCCCTTTCTCTTTCCTTTTCTTTCTCCTTCTTTTTTCTTTCTTTCTTCCTCTTTCTTTATCACTCCCTTTTTTTTTCTTTCTTTTCTTTCTTTTCCCTTTTTTCTTTTTTCTTTCTTTCTTTCTTTCTTTCTTTCTTTCAGAAATCTATCCAGTCCCCTCCTTTTCTTTTGTCTTTTCTCACTTTTTGATCATTTTTTTTTTTCATTTTTATTATTTTTAGTTGAGTTTTTTAAAGAAATTAATTTTGCCTTCTTTCTCACTTTTCTTTCTTTTTTTCATTTTTCTATTTCTTCTCACCCACCTCAATTTATTTCGGATATTTTTCTTCCTTTCTTCCTTTCTTTCTTTCTTTCTTTCTTTCTTTCTCTCTCTCTCTCTCTCTCTCTCTCTCTCTCTCTCTCTCCGTATCTTTCTTTCTCTCTCTCTTTCTTTTTTCTTCCTCTTTTTCCATTATTTCTATCTCTTTCTTTTTCCCTTTCTTTATCTTTCTTTGTTTCTTTCTTTCTTCCTCTTTCTTTATCTCTCCTTCTCTTATTATTTTTCTTTTATCTTTCAGAAGTCTATCCAGCCCCCTCCTTTTCTTACGTCTTTTCCCACTTTTTGATCATTTTTTTTTTTTTCATTTTTCTCTTGGGCTGTTTTTTTTTTTTAAAGAAATTAGTTTTGCCTTCCTTCTCACTTTTAGTTCTTTTTCCTTTCTTTTTTTAATTTTTATTTTTGGTTGTTCATTTTTTTGTTTTACGACGAATATTCATTTAATTCTTTTAGATTACTTAGCGTCTCTATTTGATTTTGGTACTTGTTCGACCAGACATTTCCACTTTAGCGTCCCTAATCTTTCTTTCATTTCGAATTCAATTTCCTTCTTTCTTCGCTTTCATTTTTCACTCATTTTGCCACCTTACCCCTTCTCATTTTTTCGACTGAATCCTTTTTCATGTTTATTTTTTTTCACTCCTTATTCTTTTTCTTCTATTGATACGATTGTTTTCTTTCTTTCTTTTCTCTCTTTTTACTATTTATCCTTTTATTTTTATTCATTTTTTCATTTGCTCATTCCTTCCATCTATTTTTTTCGTTTTCTTCTTGCTTTTAATTCATATTTATTTACTTCTATTTTTCTTCCCCATACTTTTAAATATTTTTTTCTTTGCTTTTTCAACATCCTTTGTTTCACTTTCTCTAAATTATATCATTTCTTCCTTTCTATTCTTTCATTCTAGTTTCCTTCTTTTTTCTTTTTTTTTCCTTCTTTTTCTTTCTTTTTATTTCTCTCACTTTCTTTCTTTCACTTTTTCAACGTCTTTCTGCAACAGTGTGATATTCTTTCCTTTCGCTTCCCATATCTTAACTCTTTCCGCCTTCACTGACGTCTGCACCTTCCATTTAACGTCTTCAATCACTGCAAATGGTCCGGTGATCTTTCCATCTTTTCACAGCCCTTAATCGCCACCCCTTTCACTATTTCTCGTTCTCTGTTGCACTTCTCATCTTATTGTTTCCAAATGTTTCTTCTTCATCTCCAAGGAATTTTCATCTTTCAATGATATTCTTTACGTCTTTTTATCTCTATTTTCTATTCGCTCTCTCTCTCTCTCTCTCCCTCTCCCCTCTCTCTCTCTCTCTCTCTCTCTCTCTCTCTCTTTGTATCGTTCTCTTTTCTCTTTATATGTGGGTGTGGCGTTCTCAGACGAAAATGATAATAACATAAAATTTTTTAACTATTTTCTTCATCTCCCTTGGTTACCACAAAATTTCGCTTTGTAGCCAATCACTTTGAATCTATCCAGGACCGGTTGCGCAGTCTTGATGTAACTAGGAACCAATCAGAGAAAACCTTACTACGAATGTGTAAACAGAATCGCAGGCAGAGGGGAGGCGGAAGGGGAGAAAATAAGCACGCACCTACGCACACACACACATACGCCTACATGTGCTGGGTGGATGGGTGCCTGCATTGCACGAATTCTTACATATAATTCATATACTGTTATTTGCATTAGAAATATTTATATGTCCAGATACTATAGGTATCATCAATATATATATATATATATATATATATATATATATATATATATATATATATATATAAATGACAATAGGAAAACTGTAGTTATTGCTGACGAGTTTCGTCCAATGTGGACTTTCTCAAAGCAAAAAACGTAATGAATTTAATTAAAGAAAGTAACTAATAACAACAAAAAATGGAATGTTTTTAGCAACTGGAGGAATGTAGAGAACGCTATTTTCATATTGTTAACTGAAAATAACGTCAGTTATTGTCACGTGTGGGTAATATTGTCATCATAACTGTGTTCGCTGATTCAACCATTTTCTTTTGATTTTACGATATTGTTGTGTACGTTTGTTTGGAAGAGCATTAATTTTCTTAAGAAAGGTGAAATAGGGGAAAAGCCTGGGCGTAGATTAATATTTGGGTAATATTCTATGGCGGCACTCTCTAGAATTTTCCTTCTGAGTGAGTTATTATCTTTTTTTATGAGTGTAGCATTTTTAATATCAAAATAGAGTTACTTTCTTTAATTAAATTCATTTCGTTTTTTGCTTTGAGAAAGTCCACGTTGGACGAAACGCGTCGGCATCTATTACAGTTTTCCTATTGTCATTTATATTTATAAATATTGTTTTTTCCTACAGGTTAACTCTGAGAATTTTCATATATATATATATATATATATATATATATATATATATATATATATGAGATATATATATGAGATAACAATATAGATGTTTATATATCAAGAACAACATTGGGAAAATGTATGACAAAGTGGAAAAAGTTTACTTACGCAGCATTTTGTCCTTCAGAACTTCATCGGACTAAATTAGTTATGTTGGTATGACAACGCACGCGTACGAACGAGGGATGCTGGGAATTTTAGAATTCTTTTCTTTTTTCTTACAACAAAATGTGCCATCTACAGTAAATTGGTGTTCTAGCTCTTACAACATTTCACCATTCCTAAAATATCTTTCTTTTCCTCACTTACGTAAGTAGGTATTCCACAAGATCTACCAGGAATGGTGAAATGTTTTAAGAGTTACCAGAACGTTGCGGTCTCACTAAAACCTACAAAACTGGTATCCAAATGCGTCCCATAAATAAACTTAAATAATTTAGAAAAATCCTCGTCAAAAATACCTCCATAAGTTTCCACGAAAAGTATCAAAATTCTCGGAGCTATTTATATAAAAAAAATTGAAACCAAACCTCAATAAAATTAATTACTAATATTCCACAAACATTTGTACAATAGATAGTCTTTAAATGTTAACGTTTGTCATTAATAGTTTTTCCTTTATCTAACCAACTACTTAAGTCCGGAATTTTTCCGCAGCATACCTAGTTACCTCCCCTTAAACGGTGTCCGTCAACCAAGTCAGCGTTCCTGACTCCACATATAAAAATGGTGATTTTCGGATGGCCATAATTTTTGTCCTTCACAACCATGAACGCTAAATATTTACTCCATAATTAACAATACCCTGATGATGACATTATGCTATATCAAAAGTACTCGGAAATAAATACAAGCCAACACAGTGTTTTCCTCTCATAACAGCACAAAAACTTATCCGTGAATATGAAAGGATCCTATCAATAATAAATCGACAGAACATGTCTAAGTTATTTAACGAAACCTCTCTATATATTATATATATATATATATATATATATATATATATATATATATATATATATATAGTAAATAGTAAATGAAGGGTTTGCTAAGCCGTGTGGTTAATTCCAAAGCGGGTGTGATCCAGAGAGTTCAATGTAAACCAGAGCAAATATTAATTAAATAATTAAAAAATAGACAACCTTCAGTTATAACCGATATATATATATATATATATATATATATATATATATATATATATATATATATATATATATTATAAAGACATTTTTATGTTTAACGTTGTTATTTATAGATACAAGTATTTAAGCACTTGTATCTATAAATAACAACGTTAAACATAAAAATGTCTTTAATAAATAATTTGTCGGACCTTGTCCATTTTTTAATATATATATATATATATATATATATATATATATATATATATATATATAAAGAAAAGCAGACCACTTTAAAGTTCCATTATAATAATTTATTTCACCAGAGCCCTTTGAAAGGACGCTGGATCATCAGATAACACTTCCAAATATGAAACGAAAGATGAAATGAAAATTCACACTTTTGACGGGTAGTATTAAGTTTATGTAATTTAACAGAAAAGGTAGCGAGGCGTGGTGTGAGAGACATGGCCGAGTTTAGAGAGGGTTTATTTTAATATTTATTTCAATCATACTTAGTATATGCGTACATTAAATATATCATATGCACTTAAAGATACGTCTCCTGTAGTGAATGATAGTTTATTCAATGTGGGTTGTTTATTTTGCATAATAATAGCTTCTAAAGTTCTGAGTCCTTCCTTGTATTGGGCGCTGTGTTGTATTTTGGCACTATCCACTTAGGATGATAGTTTTACATATATACATATATATGGTCTGATGTTACGGTCTTCCTAAAACCCACAAAACTGCTATCTCATTGCGCCCCATTATTCCTAGCGCTCCTCTGCCGTGCACATGTGTAGTTGTACCAACATAAGAAATTTAGTCCGCTGAACCCAGAAGGTGGAAACGCGTCACAAATAAACTTTTCCAAATTTGTCATATATATATATATATATATATATATATATATATCAAAAAGGAGAGAAGAGAGGTGCCGCAAACGTTTTTGGTTGTAATGTGGATTTATTTAGAAAAAATATTATGCTTTGTTTTCCATAATTTTACTACACGTGTTTCTGGTCTCGCGACCATCTTCAGGTAAAAGCGGAGATTTCCACATATTATTAAAAATAATTAATTTTTTCCTTATGTTCAATGTTAAATATTCTCGATATGAGGCATTCTCTGTTTGTGTGTTCTTTTTAATATACATACTTTTTTCTCGTTGGAACCACTACAACATATTTCTTTTATATATATATATATATATATATATATATATATATATATATATATATCTGTGTGTTGTGGGCACGTGAACATGAGATGAGACTCGGGTTCGAACCTCACCATGGTAGATTTGTCAGTAAGGAGACTTTCTGATGTTATCGGACTAGAGGGTTCGATCCCAGCGTGCGGCACCTTCGGAAAGTGTCTGAAAACCATACCACCGTTTGACCTAAACTTTGTGAGTGAAATTGGGGGCCTCTATAGCTGTGCTAGCACAAATTCACAAGTCATTGTGGCCGAGGGCCTGAGTGTGCTGGCCTTGTTCAAATTGGCGATCACTCTAGATAACACGCTCTTTCCCAGAAGCTGTAACTAAGGTCTACTTAGTATAGTTGCAGTATAAACGACAGGTGGGCTCTGTGGGTGTTGAATAAACACAAATGCGCCTGAGCAAGCGTCTGCAATAGTAGACAGGTATCCCCGAACACGAGTGGCCAGCTACACGCATATATATATATATATATAAAGGAAATATAGTGGTTATAAATATATATATATATATATTCATTGAACATGAAGAAAAATTAATTATTTTAATAATAGTAAAATCTACATTTGCGAGACCAGACCAGAAACACGTGTCGTGAAATTTATGTAAACAAAAGTATATTTTTTTCTCAATAAATCCACATTACAACCAAAAAATTTATATATATATATATAAAATTCAAATGCTAAAAATACTTTTAAAAAGTGCTCAATACAAAGTAGAGCAATATACAATATATTATGTTATTTTTATAAGTGATTATAATAAAAACATTTCGAAATCGCTATACAAAAGCTTTCATGTTTCAATACTATCATCGCCTGATGAAGTACAATTATAGTATTGAAACATGAAAGCTTTTGTGTAACGATTTAAAATGTTTTTACTATAATCTCTTAAGATTATAATCTATCTATCTATCTATCTATCTCATTTTCGTAATAATCTCATATATGTTTGGTTGAATAATATCGACAAGTTCTACTATTCAGTTTTGTATTAACTTTTTCAAATTTCAAATATATAATGGTTAAATCTATTCTATAATAGAAAGTCTAGACACTAACACAACAAAAGTTCGATCCTCTTTCATAGAAAGCGAAAGCAAAATAAATTTAGCCATTGTATAAAACAACTAATTCTTAAATTTGCAAAAAGATAATAAATATTTGATAAAGCAAAACTAGTCGATATTATTCAACCAATCGATAGAAAAGAATTCTTGTTGCCTAAATACTCTGATATATATATATATATATATATATATATATATATATATAGATAGATAGATAGATAGATAGATAGATAGATAGATAAAATTCAAAACTATGTTAGTGAATACCGTATTTGAGTAGACGATACGTTTATTTTAAACAGTATTTATTATGTCGACGGACTTGAATGATTTTTAAAATAAACGGAACGCCTACGCAAAATACGAACTAAAAATAACTTCATAAATAGATTACACCTAAATACCTCTTCCCAAAGAATATTTCTGAGTGAATTAAAACACGTAAAACAAAAACATTAGTCAACAATAATTTTACCAACTGCATCAATGATAAGCAACTAAAATTATTCTTACAAAAAAGAAATACACGACACCAGCAATAAAAATACGATACCAAAAAACATCAACATATCAGATGCACAAAAAATTATAAGCAGGACGAATTGGCTATGCGAAGAATCATTAAAATAAAGTAAGTTTAAGATAGATGGCGCTGTGTTGCCATAAAGATTAAGTTACATTTGTCATTCGTGTGCATTTGTGGTCAGTCTGTCTTCAATGTTTAACGTATGTAGCAGTTAGTTATCTGAGAAGTGTTCTGTTTAACAATATGGCTATTACACTTGTATTTTCTACTAGTATGTTTCGGATGCAGTCTGGTAGGGTTTTGTGTGTTTAAATGAGTCCTAATGGCGCTATGGTCATGTAGGTGTAATGTGAACTGTCCAGATAGGCATGTAATAGTATCACCAATCTAATTATTTATGAATTTGGTTTGATCATGATTACCGTTATTTAAGGGACATTTGAACTCGTAAACAATGTTAATTCTTTATGGTTTTAATTTTACGGGGGTGTTGATATTTTTTATGGTTAGGTGTTTGAAATTTTAATGTAATAGATAATTTAATTTTCTTTTTCGTGTCGACTGGAGTAGTGTATTTCTTTATGATATTTCCAAGAGAAAATTTGTCTTGCTTATAGTTGACATGTATTTGGCTTTTGTAGCTGACGTTAATGTTATTGTTTTTACCTGGATGTTCAGTATTACTATTAGTTACTTTAGACGAAAATAGTCTAATCTAGAGTTAGGAAAATCATTGTTAACTTGAATCTGTTTTACATTGTATATATATATATATATATATATATATATATATATATATATATATATATATATATAATGGACTGTTATGAATTTGACCGTTTTCTTTTATAGTTATGGATATTGGCTTAGGAAGAGGTAATTCTTTTCAGAAATGGGGATATTTGAAAAAATTCAGGGCGCAAATTTATATTTCGATAAGATTCAATAGCAGCACTCTCGAGAATTTTCCACCTAATTAAAATAATTTTAATAAGTGTAGCATTTACTCACAAGGCCCGTACAATCAAAGCCTCAATCGCGATGACCCCTGACTTCGTTCAAGCGCAACCGACTATTGAATTCAAACGGTTCAGTCTACCGAATTTCAGTCACAAGGTTTAGGTCAAAGCAGGGTATGGTTTTTTCAGGTACTTTCCAACTCTACCTGAATGATTACATCAAGAAGTCACCCCCACCCTTGACCAAGTATCTTCTTCCCGGAAAGCACACGTTCTAACCGCTCGGTCATATACCGTAGTTTCCGACTTACAAGACGCTGCGGCTTGGAAGACGCACCCTAATACTCGAAAGGAATTTCTTAGAAAAAAAAGAAGGTCATTCTCATACAACACATTCACCATGCATCTCTCACATACTGGCGCCACGTATTGTTTACATTAATCACTCGTACGATTTTGTTTGTATGACAATAACATATTCATGTATGTATGTATATATATATATATATATATATATATATATATATATATATGTGTGTGTGTGTGTGTGTGTGTGTGTGTGTGTGTGTGTGTCTGTGTCTGGATAGATAGATAGATAGATAGATAGATAGATAGATAGATAGATAGATGAACAGATGAGATAGATAGATAGATAGATAGATAGATAGATAGATAGATAGATGAATAGATAGATAATGTACAGACGGAGATAGATAGATAGATAGATAGATAGATAGATAGATACGAACAGACTGAGATAGATAGATAGATAGATAGATAGATAGATAGATAGATAGATAGATAGATATTTGAATGCCATGCTGAAAAAAACTTGTACATTCCTAACAATGCTACAGCATATTTAAAAAAAGCAGGGATAAAAATAAAAACAAAACCAATAAAGCTCCCACCGCTGCTAGTAAACAGAGCATGTGGCTCGGTTCCAGGAAGGTTGATAGCCTTGGAGATACTCTTGTATCAGTAAAAGTACTGAGGTTACATCATATAAAAGGCTGAATTAGCTAGATAGCTAATATTTTAGTGTGATGACTCAACATATAAATTCACATTCATATCAGTCAAGCCAATTACGTGAATGTCCAAGCTTACTTGAATCTGGGCGTTGACTTACATTCTTACGGTTACTTACGTCTTGGAAGACGCACACTTATTTTTCAGGATATTTTTTAAGAAAAAAATTGCGTCTTGTAAGCCGGAAAATACGGTATATGCGTGTTTTTCTTTTGTTTTGTTTTTGTTTTTTGTTTTTTAATAATTTCATCCCAGACAGTAAAACGCAACGCTTAATGAGTGCTAGAGAATATGAGAAAAACTACTATTAAGGAGAGAGGACAATAAAAGAACAATAATTAAAAAGACAGGAGAAAAACTTTGACATTGCATTTAAATTTTTGAAGATCAATGTTCGCTAGGAGGCTAGTAGACTGAAAGGAGTTTTCCAAGCGAGAAGTGCGAGGAAATAAACTGTTAGCATAGAACTTACGGTTACATCTAGCCATTTCAACTGTAAAATGAGGAGGTATTGCTACCAATCTGGTACTGCGTTTAAGGACAACTCTGAACTCAAAACCTGCGGGGGGGTCATTTGGGGACCTTGCAGCACATAGTGCACCAGGTCTCTATATTCGACCCTTCAAAAAGTGTGGAGAGTTCTTCACAAAGCCATCGTCCACCATATATATATATATATATATATATATATATATATATATATATATATATATATATATATATGTATGTATGTATATGTATATATAAATAAAAAGAAAGAACAGTAAACCATATAATCCGGTGTTCTTATTGATATTTTATTTTTTGCAAAACAGTGCTCAATGTAAATTTACAGAGCATTAATATTATAAGCTAACTGATTTAAAATATGTTTTTTTATTAAATTAAAAACATTAGTTCCATTTCATCCTCAAGCGAATTTTGGAGTAACTTATTTTTTAAATTTCCTGAGTTTTAAAAGCGCAGAAAAATTCATAATTCATTGTTTCCAAAATTCGCTTGAGGATGAAATGGAACTAATGTTTTTAATTTAATTACAAATTTAAATTCGAAGCTTTTAGCTTTCATTTTTGAAACATGGTTAGAACTGTGTAGTGAAAAAAACATTTTAAATCAGTTAATTTTAGTATATATATATATATATATATATATATATATATATATATACAGTTTGTGATTGATAAATTGTTGTCTAAATTACGCAAAAATAGAAATGATACTGACATCTCATTTTAACAGATATATTTACCAAAATTACACCAAAATATCTTGAAATACTAAAGAGTAAATTTATTCAATAAAATCGCCACTGGCTTCAACCACGGCCTCCGAACTACTTTGGAATCTCCTGCAACTCTTCTGAACAGTCTCCTTGTTTAAGTTGGTGAATGCTGCCATAATCCTTGCCTTCAGTCCATCGTTGGTGTTACAAGAAGTTTGGTTGATCTCTCACTCAGTCAGTATTTAGATGGTCAGTAATTAGATGGGGACCTCTTAGGTAAAGCCAGTAATGTAGGCAAAGGCAGAAGTCCTATCATAATGATACGATTCGAGTAGTAACGACCCCGCCTGTGTCGTACCCCAAGACTACTCAATCTGCCAAAAAGTTGCCTGATACGGAAATGAAGCTTTGAATGAAATGCGCGGGAATCATCAGGTTGTTCAGCGGGTTGGCAGTCGTTCTTCACACACACACACACACACACAACACAACACACATATATTTATACATACATACATGCACATATATATATACATACATACACATACATACACACACATATATATATGTTTGTGTGTGTGTGTGTATATATATATATATATATATATATATATATATATATATATTGTCATCCACAGACAAGCTTTTTCACTGTCTAACAGCTCATCAGTGTGGCTAGACATCCGATTGCTTCAAACTGGGATCGAAACTCAACTGATTCGGCAACAACAGTCGGAGATTTTCGGCGCACGGTTGAAAGAAAGGCGAATTTTTATGGTGTTTCTCTCTCTCCCCCTCTCTATCGCTCTCTCTCTCTCTATATATATATATATATATATATATATATATATATATATATATATATTGGTAGTGGTAAGGGAATAGAAAATATATTTGTAAATTACACAAGAACAGACATATTTAGGTAAGTTGAAATACATCATGCACTTACAAATATTGCAATTTTAGCTTTGAACGACAAAGAAAATGCTTCTATATTTATGTGTCTATATATATATATATATATATATATGTCAATAGTGCAAAGACACACATATATATATATATATATATATATATATATATATATATATATATTATAACATACATAGTATCTGGACAAATAAA